AGTCTCCCCTCCTCCCCCCCGTCCAGCCCCTTTTCCCCTGGATCACCCACAGTCTCCCCTCCATCCCCCTGTCCAGCCCCCTTCTCCCCTGCAGGATCACCCCCAATCTCCCCTCTGTCTCCCCGATCCAGCCCCCTTCTCCCCTGCAGGATCACCCCCAGTCTCCCCTCCATCCCCCCTTCTAGCTCCCTCTCCACCGGATCCTGGCCCCCTCAGCCAGACCAGGGTCTCACCCTCCACGTCCTCTGATGCCAGGATGTCATATTTACTGGCCCGGCCGCCGTCCCCCTCCTCATCCTCGTCTTCCTCGTCGCTGTCCAGGGAGTGTTTCCCTTTGAACCGGCTCCCTGGGCCACTGGCCCCCAGGCCGGGCTCTGCCAGCTGGGGGAGGGATGTTAGGTCTCCTCGGTTACCCCGAGAAACAGCCCCCCCCAGGCACCACCACCCGAGTCACCCCGACACACAGCCAGCCTGTATACCCCCCGGACCACCCCGACGCACAGCCCCCCCACGGATACCAACCCCCAGGTCACCCCGACACACAACCCCCCCCCGGATACCACCCCTCAGTCACCCTGAGAAACAGCCCCCCCAATGCCACCTGCCGGGTCACCCCGAGACACAACCCCCTCCCGGATACCACCCCCGGGTCACCCCAACACACAGCCAGCCTGTATACCCCCCCCAGATCACCCTGACAGACAGCCCCCCCACGGATACCAACCTCGGACCACGAGTCACCCCGAGACACCCCAGGGGGACACCTAACACAACTCCCATCCACCCCCTGGTCATATCCTCTCAGGGGCCCCCCTCCTACCCCCAGTGACCCCTTACCTCCAAAAGCGACTGGATGCCCTCACACCCCCATCCCCCCAACAGGGACCCTGTGCCGTCTGGAGACCTCCCCCATGCCCCCATTCTCACAGCAGGGACCCCCTTTGCACGCCTACCCCATAGGGATCCTTCCCCCCCCAATGCCTCCCCACCCCACAGAGATCGTTCACCCCCCCCGGGGGTCCCTCCCCCACATCCCATCCCCATAACTCACCTTCTTCTTGGGCATGGCCAGCTCCTCCTCCTCCTCGTCCCCCTCGGCCTGGTCCTCAAATGTCACCTTGCGCTTGGGCATGGTGGCCCCTGACGGTCCTGAGGGGGAGAGGAGAGCTGGGTGAGAAAGGGGGGGGTCCCCCAGTGCCAAGCCCCCCAGACGGGCCTCACTGCCCCTCGATAAAGGGACGATCCCAAAGCGACACCCTATGATAACAAACCAAGGCCCATGGAGCGCTACAGTAACCAACAAAAGACCCTACAATAACAAACCGCCGCTCACAACAGACGATAGCGGGAGCTGGCTAAGCAAGACCCTGTTGTAACAAACCGACGTCTCACAAGAGACCCTGGGCTAACCCACCAGGCCCTAGCAGAGGAGACCCTACAATAACAGGCCCCACGTGACCCGGGGCTGCTGTCCCAGCCACGCCCACCCCGGCTGGTCACCGATAAGTCCCTTATCTGTGGGCAGTGGTGCAGGTTGGGCGGTGCACTCCGGTACGCAGTACCGGCAAGAGATTTTTAGGGGGTTCGGGGTACGGGAAAGACTTGGGACTAGGCCCTCCGGAGGAGGAGGGGGTGGGGCTGTGCTCGGCTCCTTAAAGGAGCAGAACACGGCTAGTGAGGGCATTCATTCTTTATATGGCTTTAACAGCACAATACATACGCTAACAAACTTAAACAAAGGCCTTTTTAAAGTTTGTTAGCATCTGAATTGGGCTGGTAAATTGGTCAGGAGTCCCCAGGGGAACGGAAGGAATTTAAACAGTGCTTCTGATTCTGTTTCTCCCCACTGGTCTGAACTACCCGTGACATTCACCTCAAAGAAAGAGGCAGAGGTCCACAGATTTACAAACCTAAAAATCTGTCTTCTGCTTTAAACCACCTCAGCCCATACCAGGTTTATGAACATTCAAAAGTTAACTGCAAAGGAACTATAAGGTGGACAGAAAGCTGCCTAGATCATTGGGCTCAACGGGTAGTGACCAATGGCTCCATGTCTACTTGGCAGCCGGTATCAAGTGGAGTACCCCAGGGGTCGGTCCCGGGGCCGGTTTTGTTCAATATCTTCATTAATGATCTGGAGGATGGTGTGGACTGCACTCTCAGCAAGTTTGCAGATGACACTAAACTGGGAGGATTGGTAGATACGCTGGAGGGTAGGGATGGGATACAGAGGGACCCAGACAAATTAGAGGATTGGGCCAAAAGAAATCTGATGAGGTTCAACAAGGACAAGTGCAGAGTCCTGCACTTAGGACGGAAGAATCCCATGCACTGTTACAGACTAGGGACCGAGTGGCTAGGCAGCAGTTCTGCAGAAAAGGACCTAGGGGTCACAGTGGACGAGAAGCTGGATATGAGTCAGCAGCGTGCCCTTGTTGCCAAGAAGGCTAACGGCATTTTGGGCTGTATAAGTAGGGGCACTGCCAGCAGATCGAGGGACGTGATCATTCCCCTCTATTCGACACTGGTGAGGCCTCATCTGGAATACTGTGTCCAGTTTTGGGCCCCACACTACAAGAAGGATGTGGAAAAATTGGAAAGAGTCCAGCGGAGGGCAACAAAAATTATTATGGGGCTGGAGCACATGACTTATGAGGAGAGGCTGAGGGAACTGGGATTATTTAGTCTGCAGAAGAGAAGAATGACAGGGGATTTGATAGCTGCTTTCAACTACCTGAAGGGGGGTTGCAAAGAGGATGGATCTAGACTGTTCTCAGTGGTGGCAGATGACAGAACAAGGAGCAATGGTCTCAAGTTGCAGTGGGGAAGGTTTAGGTTGGATATTAGGAAACACTATTTCACTAGGCGGGTGGTGAAGCACTGGAATGGGTTCCCTAGGGAGCTGGTGGAATCTCCTTCCTTAGAGGTGTTTAAGGTCAGGCTTGACAAAGCCCTGGCTGGGATGATTTGGTTGGGGATTGGTCCTGCTTTGAGCTGGGCGCGGGGAGGAGTCACATGGAGGGAGTACCCCTGTCTGGGGGTCCAGGCTAGTAAACCCTGGCCTAGAGCTAATAAACATTTGCATATGCAAATGAGCATATGAGCTCCCCTCTGATGCCCCCCTTTCCCCAGCCTGCCTGTGCCCCGCGGGGCCCCCCCACGAGACCTGGGGCAGGTCACTGGGGGGGTCCCCACAGAACAGCCCCATCCTCCCTGGGGGTGGGATCTAAGGGGCAACCCCCCCCATCCCAGCGTCCTAATTTGCATATGCAAATAACTCGCACGGGGGTAACCCCAACCCCCCCCCCGGTGCAGGGCAGGGGGCGGGGCCCCGATTTCAGCCTCCCAACAGCCCAACCAGGGGACACCTGGAACGCCTTAATTTGCATATGCAAATAACCTACAGCCCCCCCCGGGGAGCCCCGCATGGAGGCGGCCCCACAGGAACGGGGGGGAGGGACGACTGCGACCTCCAGGCTCCACCCCCTCATTTGCATATGCCAATCACCCCGGGGCCGGACACAGGCCCCCCCGGCTGGGCCCCCCCCGGTAGCAGGCTGCCCCCCACCCGGGGACCCCACAGCCCCCTCATTTGCATATGCAAATCAGCGTCCCCCCCAGCTGGGCCGCTCACCCGTCTCCGGAGCTCGCAATGCGCCTCGCGCGACAACCGCTTCCGGGTCAGCCCGCCCTCCTTCCGGCCTCGATGTGACGTCACCAACCGTCCGTTGCCTCCCCTACGCCCCGCCCCTCGCCCCGGGTTGGTCCCGTTTCTCGCCGTTTCCTCTCATTGGCTGGGGCGGGAGCCCCCGGAAGTTGGCAGTTTGGCCCGCCCCCAACAGGGCTGCACCGGACGTGACGTCACTCCGTGGCTTCGTCCCCAAGGCCCGCAGTGGGGCGGGGCTGGCGTGAGGGCAGGAGTTAAAGGGGCAGGGCCCTATTTTGGGGTGCGGGAGGAAGTGACGTCATCTCCTGGCAGCCGCTGGCTTCAGCCCATTGGCTACCATGGGGCGCTGGCGTCATGGCAACGTTTAAAGGGGCAGCGCCCGGTTTTCTCAGACCTCTTCCCCCCCCCCAGCGTGACCCCCCCATGGTGCGGGGG